TGAATAAACTTATTTTCAGTTAAGCTAAAAGAAAAATATTTTGAGAAAACAATTTTTCAAGGTTATAGCTTTTCTCAATATAAAACTGTTCAGCTTTAAGGGGAAGACAAATTGTTTTGATAAGATTTGATAATTGTTTTAAAATGTGTACTAAAGATAAGCTACACAAAGGGCAATAGATATAAACAAGCACTTCATAGAAGAGGAAATTCAAATGACAAATAAACCTATGAAGATAGGCTATACTTTCTTAATAATCTGGTAAATGGAAATTGAGCTACAATGAGATGACATTTTCTACAACCTCTAGATAGGCCTCAACCAAAGTACAGGTAAAGAGGTGGAAAAATAGCAGCCTCAAGCACAACTAATGCAAGTGTAATTGGTACAACCACCTTGGGAAATAATTTGAACTTGTTTGATAAAACGGATCATGTATACAACCTATGACCACGCAATTTCAATCTTAGTTACATAATGATACATATATATGTATTATATATGTTATATATACGTACATACACACATACACACATATATACATCAGGTGACAGGCAGGGTAGAAGGCTATTCATAACAACATTATTTATAATACAAAAATTGAAAACATTCTGTAGATACATTAATAAGAAAATCAAAAATTATATTATACATATAAAATATAACAAAAATGTAATAAAAATGAATGGAACAAAACTGCTCTTACCAACAAAATGAATCTTGAAAATACGATGTTGAGAATAAAAGAAAATGTAGTATCATTTCTATAACATTCAAAAACAAGTATAAATAATAGTTTTCATGAAAACATAAATGTATGGAAATGTTCTTCCCAAAAAAACAATGAAATAGTAAACATTAAATTCAAAATAGTTTTTACATCTAGGTAAAGTCAGAAGAATGAGTTAGTGATAATGCATATCTGTATATTTCATTTTCCTGCTTCCTGAATTTTATATTATCTTGAATATATTAATTATTGTACAAACATATACAAAATTATATAAAAATGCTATCTAGAGATATAGAAATCTTCATTTTATATCTAAAATACCATCAAAAAATATAAATCCATTATTTTTCAATGTCTAACTCTTAAGCCTAATTTTATCACTGTTATTTTAAAGTCAAACATATATCTATATATATTTAACATTGATATCAAATATTTTCATATTAAGCTTATCGATTTTATTTAAGAAAAACATAATTTGCATTCTATCATCTTATATTTGAGAACTATTTGACAAATTGAATTTCTTAATCATTTTTGAAAAAGACAATACTTTGTGTCCTAGATATTGTGCACATAACTCGATTTGAATAAACTAATGGATTTGGAAAATTCAGTAGTTTACAATATTCATTTAAAAATAACTGAAAGGTTCATATTCATAAAACCATAGTTTCATATATTTGATACTCTGTAAAACTGTTTAGAAAGATGTGAGGATTTTCTTATGACCTAGCCCTTTTCCAGGAAATATACCTTGATTCCTAATTTGCACTTTGGAACGAATCCTGTGTTGTCATTTTGGCTTTTGTACCATCAGTACAGATGTTCCTACATATTTTTGCCAGTTTATTTAATGATGTGTTAAAAATGAATCTAAACTCTTCAAAATCCCCTTTCTCTTTTTTGTTATATCTTTGTCAAAACTTTCACAAAGTAATAAATCTTTCTCTTATTTGCCATATAAAATATTACATAGAATAAGCAAAATAGACAGACTCACATCATTTTCACTTCATTAGTTTACTTGTAATCTTTTCACATATTCCCAGTGCTCATTAAATCATCATGCTGCTCAGTCTATTTTCATATCTTGCTGCCACCTAAAATATGTATTAGTGTCATTAAAAGGATATGAGGTTTTGTCTATTTGCTTTTTTCTCACATTATTTATTAATGCAAAATATTTAACATGTCTATATATTAACATTTTAAATATTAAATGAATTTAGTTTTTATAAATACGTGACACACAAGTACAGAACATGGTTGGTCCATAAAACACAACTTTGAAAAAAACCTCTATACAACCTTAAGTGATTGGAAAATGTTGACAATTTGCTAGAAAAAAATAAAAAAGAAAACTTCTAAAACAGTATTGTATACCACTGTAACTACTGTCTTTCACAGTTTCAATACAGTCGTAACAATATTTTAATTAAAACACAGAAAATATAATGTAAGCCAGGGTTCTGCCTAAAGGGATTTCATGTTTAATTTTTACCCATAAAATAATGACCAAGAGTCAATTCACACCTCACAATGTTAGCAGGACACAGAATGTCTTGTTCCATTATACTCTGCTCTGAAAGAGAGAAGTGTCACAGTCGTCTATTGCTGCGTAACAAATTATGTCAAAAATTAGTGCCTTAAAACAACATTTATAATCTCAGTTTTATAGCCAAGTCATCTCAGTTTTACAGCAAAGGCATTGCTTACCTGGGTTCTTTGCTTCAGAGTATTTCACAGGCTGCAATCAAGGTGTCCCCTAGGTTGTAGTTACCTGGACGTTCAACTGGGGAAGAATCACTTCCACACCCAGTCTTATTGGTTAGAGTCTCTTCCTCATAGATTGTTTTCATTTCCTGGGTTTTGATTGCTTGTGTCTTAGTCCTTTGGGACTGATATGACAAACTGCCATAAACTGGGTGGCTGACAAACGACAGAAATTTCTTTCTTTTAGTTCTAGATTCTGGGAAGTCTGTGATCAATGTGCCAGCAGATTCAGTGTCTGGTGAGCGCCCACTCTCTCATTCATAAGTGGCACCTTCTCATTGGGTCCTCACATGGTAAAAGAGGCAAGACCGCTCTCTGGAACTTCTTTTGTAAGGGCAGTAATCCCATTTAGAAAGGCAGAGACATTATGACCTTATCATCTCCCAAAGACCTGTGTCTTTTGATACAATAACCTTGGTGATGAAAATTCAACATAGGTACTCGGGGAGTCACAAACACTCAGAACATAGCACCTTGCTTGCTACTGGCTGAAGGTAACCCTCAGTTTCTGGCCATGTGTTTCTTTCCTTAGGGAAGTTCACAACATGGCAGCTGGTTGAGTCAGAGCTGGTAGGAGGGCAAGAAAGAGTGTGAGCAAGATGGACATCTCCGGCTTTAGAACCGAATTTTGGAGCAGACAGTCATTGCTTCTGCCATATATTACTTTTTAGAAGCAAGTGACTAGTTGTAGCCCAAGTGAATACAAGGAAGTCAATGTTGGGAGTCATTTCAAAGGCCTTCAAAATAACCAATTTATTTCTGATTTTCCATCTACAACTTGGGTTTCAAGGCATAAATACTAATTTCAGAATTTTCATGAAAATAGAATAATAGGTACATTCTTACAACTGTGCAGGGGATTCATAAGTGATGTTGAAATATACGTTTGACAAATTTGTTTTCTAAAGGCTAAAGCCAAATTAAAGTTAATAGAAAATTTTGGCCATATATGAAGGCTAAAATTGAAATGTGATACATGCCTGCTTGATTTTTGTGCTACTGACAGTATATTATAATTAAAAACTAGTATCTATTATAATTAATAGCAAGCATCTATCTTCTTGATCTTAAAGTAAAATGTTTGATCATTAAATATGATATTTAATGTAGTTTTATGGTATATAGCAATTACATGATCAAGGACATTTCAGCCTACTGCAAGAGTTTTGAAGAGTTTTAAAGTTACATTTGTGTTTTGAAATATAGCTTTTTTTTTATGTACATGTAGGTAAAAATGATGATATCATTTTTTCTGTAATTTATAAATATGGCACATTACATCAGTATATTAGTCCACTTGGGAAATACATTTTAGAATTTCAAAATCTACTTCAGTACATCTCTTTGACATTGCGTTATCCTTGAATTCCAAATGTTCATACATATGGGTGTGTATGTATGTGTGTATATATATATGCATGTGTGTGTGTGAGTGTGTGTGCATCTCAAAAAATATTTTAGGAACATAACTACAGTATTTTTATAGTATGTTGGTGTTACTCTATTTTTTCCAAAGCCATAGTTATCTTTATCTACTATGCTATGGCTCACTTTAAATTTCACTTGAATGATAGTAAAATTACTGCCCTCCTATTAAATCAATAATGCGTTTAGCTTCAAGGAACAGAAAAACGTATGGTAGGGACTTAAAAACATAGAACTTTATTTTCCTCACATAGAAAAATCAGCAGGCAGACATTTTTTATTCTAATTCAGCAGCTTAATAATGAGAGGGCAATAGTTGTTAATATCATCTAGTGTTTTGAATCAGACACAGAATGAGTATTGAAGTTTCTGCCACGCCATCTATATTGCAGCAAAAAAGAATGGGGAGGAAAACTGACAGATGCCTCTGTCAGAAAAGTAAACTGTTCCCAGGACACTAATTATACTTATGTGTCATCATCTGGCATTGTCCTATTAAGCCATCTTGGTGAGAAAGTGATTTGGATATGAAAGTTGGAAGTAAACATTAACAATGTTTGCCATATCTAATTTCCTTTTGGTTTATACTTTGCCTAGCATAGAGTTTCAAAACTCTTTATTTTTAACTAATCTGTGAGATTATGTTTTATGTGTATCCTCTGCAGACAAACAAATAAATATCAACAGGTATTTTTAATCATTCTCTTTTGTGATTTTAATTTTATTTTATATTTGTTTTGTATTTATTTTTTCTTAGAATTATTTGGAAATTACGTATCACGGCCGGGCGCGGTGGCTCAGGCCTGTAATCCCAGCACTTTGGGAGGCCGAGACGGGCGGATCACGAGGTCAGGAGATCGAGACCATCCTGGCTAACCCAGAAAACCCCGTCTCTACTAAAAAAAAAAAATACAAAAAACTAGCCAGGCGAGGTGGCGGGCGCCTGTAGTCCCAGCTACTCGGGAGGCTGAGGCAGGAGAATGGCGTGAACCCGGGAGGTGGAGCTTGCAGTGAGCTGAGATCCGGCTGCTGCATTTCAGCCTGGGCGACAGAGCGAGACTCCGTCTCAAAAAAAAAAGAAAAGAAAAGAAAAAAAAAAAAGAAATTACGTATCATATTTCAATTTCTGGTAGTCATAGATAAGTTATTATATCAGTTTCCTATAATGTTGTAACAAATTATCCTACATTTAATCATTTCAAAACAATAGAAATGTATTCTCTTTCACTTCTGGAGGTCAGAATTCCAAAATCTATCTTGGTGAGCCTAATAAAGGTGTCAGACAGAGGTGTCCCTTTTGAGGGCTCTAGGAGAGAATCTATTTTCTGACCTTTTCCAGACTCTAAAGACTTGGCTCATACCTACTTTCACCATCTTCAAAGCCAGCGGTGGACCATCTTCAAGTATCTCTCCAAGTCTTGGCTTCTGCCTCCTTCTTTTATCTTTTAAGGACACTTGCAATTACATGAGCCCAACAGGATAATTCACAAGGTCTCTAAAAAGTAAACTAAAAGATGGATTTTGGAAGCAAGCTAAAACCTAGTAAAGCAACACATAATCTTTTCTCTTGCAGATTTAACCTACTCATAGACTCTAGTCAGAGCATCTTGCCACAGTGGTATTGGCCCAGACAGCTAAAGTTTAAAATGAAAAGCCTGTCATAGGACAGAAAAAAAAAAAAAAACAAGAACAAAACCAGGAAAAATCTTCAGCCAGAAAGTATAGAGGAAATCCTAGAGAGAAGAGAGCTGGAGGTTGAAATATCCTACTTCTCATGAGTATATGAAACTGTACAAGTTCAGGTGTTACCTCTGTGCTCCATATAAACATGACAGACCAAAGGTAGAACAGCAAATTTGTAGGAAACTGAATTTCAGTTTAAACTGATACAACAATTGCCAACCTAGTGAGCATGTGTTGAGAAGACACAAAGAAATATGTAAAGGCTGGGCTGAGATTAAGCGACCACCCAAGATTCAGACTAATAGCTAAAGCAGTACATAAAGGAGACCCAAAGAAAGCAGAGCAAAAATCCATTTGACAACTGTACTGATGTTGGGAATACAGATCACAGAGCCAAGACAGAATTTGTAGTCTTGACCAACCTAGGGTAAATATCTACTAAAACAAATAGATCAACATTATTAAGAGCAAAGTCTTGGCAAACTAAAGCTCGTGGGCCAAGTCCATCTTACTGCCAGTTTTTATGTAAATGAAATTTTATTGTATACAGCACATATATTCATTAATAGATCATTTGTGTCTGTCTTTGCACTAAAATGGCAGAGTCAGTTTGTCACAACAGGACCATAGGATGTGGAAAGTCTTAAAGATTTACTATCCAGTTCTGTATGTAAAAAGTTTGCTGACTTCTGCTTTAGAGTATTTTAATAGTCTATAGTCTTTAAGTTTGTAGCCAAATCTACAACTTAATATTCAAAACTTTGATGGTAAAAGCCAAATTAGTCAATATCCAAACACTGAGGGAAATGACATTAATCCTCAAAAAAAAAAAAAAAAAGAAAAATAACAGATGCCAATCCAAAATGACCCAGATATTGGGTTTAGGTTTATAAGATTAAGACATTATAACTATTCTCCATGAGGTCATAGTAACTATAGTTGAAATAAATGAAAAGATGTAAGTTCTCAGTAGAGAAAATGAAACAATAAAAATAATGGAAATTTTAGAAATAAAAAATGTTTGAATTAAATATATAAAGGATAGGCTCAAGAGCATAATAAAGATAAAGAAAAAACAGTAAAATTGAAGTTCGATTGTTTAAAACTATCAATTACAAAGGGCAGATAGGAAACATTTGCTTCATTACATATGTTATAATCACATAATATATTGCATATTATTAGTAGTTTTCAAAGAATATTAGTGTATTGTGTGATTATAACATATGAAATGGGGCAAGGGGATGTAATGATTGAAACCCTTCCACATTTTGTTAGCAGTCAGAAAATATTAAAACTAAAAGATTATAAAATCTTAGAGATGTTTATATCTCCCTAAACCACCGTTATAAAAATTATGTTGAAAGTGTGCTCCCCCAAGAGAGAAGATTTAAGATATATACAAAAGATACAAAAGAAGGAAAGAATTGCAACTTAGGGAACAAATAATAGAATACCAAACCACAAATAAATATCAAAATGCTAGAAGTCAAGTTATATCAATAATCACTTATATGCACATTTAACAAAACCGTTAACTATATACTATCTATAGGAAACTTCTTAAAGGATAATATAAGGAATGTTCAGACTAGGAATTCCCAATGCTCACAGCCCTCCCACACACAAAAAGGAAAACAATGCAGGAAATTTGCGTGGCATAAAAACTAAAACTAAAGATGCCCTCATAGAAAAATTTAAGAAACTTTTTACCTGTGAAACTTTATTCCCCTGGTTGAGTACAGCTTGGCACCAGGATGAATCCCCTCAGTGTAGCCTTTTCCTGTGTAGGAAAAACAAAAAAAGAGGATCATAATGGCCCTCATCACTGCAGACACTTGCAGCTTTCAACACTGAGGATTTCCCCAGACTTTATCAACACTGACCACAACTGATGGATTAACCCAGAGTCCATGATGCTGCACTTACTCTAGATGAGGAGCTGCTTCTGCTCCTCCAAAGTATACCCCCAGAGGCATCCCTGCCTACTTTAGACTTCACCATGTACCTTGAAGCAGCGCTGTGACTCAGTTCTAGTCTCTGGAATAAATTATAAACAAACAAACATACCTAAAGCAGGTTCCAGCGTCATCTGTGTTGAATGATACGATTAGAATCTGATTTTGTTTTTTTCAAACTCTCTATTTCCCTTTTCTGTTTATGGATTATTTGCCTTGTTTTCTCTAGTTCTTCATGAATTATACTTAAGTATAGTCATCCCTATGTACTCATCCTCATAACTCGCAATTCAAGGGAAAAGAGTGTGTCCTTTCAACTGGAAAAATTGCCATAAAAGACTGCTATCTAGTCAAATTTGGCTTGTGTCAAATTCATAAATGTTTGCAGCTATTACTGCATCTAGAGGGATACTGTTCTACAATTGGCTTGCTTGTATCATGTACCTCTTGGGCAAAGGAGGATAGTAGGCAGTCTAACATATGAATGCAAGATTTTTGTATTACTTGAGAGAGAGCAAATACTATTTTTATAATTGTGGCAGCGTAACACATTATAAGAATGTTTAAGTCATTTCTGATTGGAATCTGCATTAAATTCATGCTGATTGTATTATAAATATACAAGTATGAATATGTGTATGTGTGTGTGTGTGTTTGTATATGTAAACATATTTTTTGACCTAGATTTTTATCCACAAAGTAAGGCAATGTCTTATGATTTGAGTTATAGTGATCTTTTGCACAGAATGCTGACAATAATTAAAAATGGATGGTATATTTCAAAATTGCTTAAAGACTAAGTTTTAAATATTCTTACCACAAAAACCCATATGTATGTGAGGTGACAAATATACTAATTAGCTTGATTTAATCATTTCACAAAGTAGATACATATTGAAACATCTCATTGTGTCTTATACATATAACCAATTATATTATTTGACAAATAAAAATAAAAATTGCTGGGTGCAGTGGTTCATGCTTATAATTCTAGAACTTCAGTAGGCCAAGGCAGGCAGATGTTTGAGCCCAGGAGTTTGAGACCAGCCTAGGCAACATGGTGAAACCCAGTCTTTAGAAAAAAATACAAAAGTTAGCTGGGCATGGTGGCACACACCTGTAGTCTCAGCTACTCAGGAGGCTGAGGTGGGAGGATCACCTGAAACCAGGGAGGTTGAGGCTGCAGTGAGCTGTGATGGTGTCACTGCACTCCCACCTGGGCGACAGAGTAAGATCCTGTCTAAAAATCAATCAATCAATCAATCAATCAATCAATCAAATTTGAAAAATTTAGCATCAAAAAAGGGAAATAAATCAAAAGTATAATATTGTCACCTTCAAATTTGGGAGTTGAGACCATTTTTACAGATGATTATACATATTTTTAAATTTTGACATAAATCTTTGTTTAGAACTGAAATAGCAGGGGGTGCTGTGGGTCAGGATGCAATTGGCAGGGCTATATGGGAACATGCTCACATCTCTGGGTGTCTAAAAAAGCGAGTACATTTACGCCTTTGGTTTCCTGGAAATTATAAGTAGGGAATTAAAGCGTACTGGGACATGAATCTTGGTACATAGTTTTCTATTGTGCAGAATTGTGACCCACATATGTAATTTGTGTTTATATATTTTGGATTTTATTATTTTCAACTTTTATATTAGACATAGGGATATAAATATGTTAGTTTATTGCATGACACTGAGGTTTGGGTTACAAATGACCTTGTCAGCCAGGTACTGAGAATAGTCCCAACAGTCAGTTTTTAACCCTTCCTCTCCTCCTTATCTTCTCTCTCTCTTAGTCCACACTCAGCAGATTCATATTATGGATGTAATAGCTTCTTGAATATTTCTGGGACTCTTTATTTGAATGTTAATATTTTGCTGTTGTTTTTTATTTTATTTTTATGTATTTATCCCTTGAATTATCCATTTTCATTAGATTTTTTTCATTTTTTATGCCTTGTTCTCTTTCTTTAATTTCTCAAATATCTGGTGTGACAACAAGGAAGTGTGTATATAACTACACAGTACAGCAGATCTATTGCCAGATTTCATTTTAGGAGATACATAGAAAGTACCAACCATCATGCTCTTGAATCAAACAATTGCAGGAAGTAGAAGATTTTGCTTTAGTATATCAACTTTCAAATTTTCCTTAGTGTTTCCCAGGCTACCAAGACAGATTGTTTAATTACTTTGGGAAAAACAAACAAACAACAACAACAAAAACTCTGATTTTTTTTTTTTTTCCCAGCAGCACTAAAGTAGTGGGAGGGAATAATGGTCTACTTTGTGAGTATGCCATAAGTGTGTGAGTGTGTGTGTGTGTGTGTTTCACTGTTTCATTTGTTTCATTGGAGGTGTCTATTAATGCACTTTATTTTAGCTACATGTCTTCCATAATTCCTGATGTTATCAATTTCTAACCTGAGCTGTTTTCTCAAAGAAAGTTTTGTAAGGTGAGACAGCTACTTAAAGCACCTTATGACATTTTCTTCACCTGTGTCATCTATCACCACTCATTCCATCTGGTTTCCACTTTTCGGGAGTTTATTGAGCATATATTTTCCTGAGTTTATTTGTTTTGTAAACTTTTACTCTAATGAAGTCTAATAGAGAAAATACAATAAATTCTTGTTTGTTTGCTATTTTACACTAAAATGTTTGGATTTATGTTAAACAAGCAAAGGTTTTAAATTTTATTTTAATATTTTTCATATTTATAAACTGTATATGTTTATGAATATATGCTTATGAATGTAAAATTCAAAAACATATAGTTGAATATACACAAATGAAATATATATCTATATATGTATAAGTATACATATATAATTGAACAACACACGGATGCTTTTATTTCTTACATTCTAATACTTCTGAGTAAATTTTTCCAAGTTAAAATCTAAAAATATTTTCCACTTATTAAAAAAAAAAGAAAGAAGCATTCTATTCATTTTCTACTCATTTCCTACATGCAGAAAAAATAATGTGATAGATTCAAGAAGCAAAATTTACCTTGGATTATAAGAGACAGAAAATGGAAAATGCACAATTATTATTTTGAAGTCAACAACAATGAACATGAACTTATATTAAATTACTACATATTTATATTTACTTTTAAGCTAATTATTTTATTAGTAGTATATTTTCTATCTCTGTTTGTTTAAATGAGCAATTCAGAGGATGGTACAGAAAATAAAAAATGTAGTAAACATACTTTAAGGAAAATATGTGTCTTAGTCCATTTAATGTTGCTGTAAAGAAATACCCGAGGCTGGGTAATTTATAAATAATAGAGGTTTATTTGGCTCACAGTTCTGCAGGCTATAAAAGAAACATGCCATCAGCTATGAAGCCTTCCTCGGGGAGGGCTTCAGGCTGTGTTCACTCATGGCAGAAGGTGAAGCAGGGCTGGCATACGCAGAGATCACATAATGAGAGAAGAAGCAAGAGAGAAGGAGAGGAGGTACCAGGTTCTTCTTAACAATCAGCTCTCATTGGAACTAATGATTGAGTACTCACTTACCCTTTACCCCAAGGAGGGCATTAATCTATTCATGGAGATCCCCTCCCTGATCCAAACACCTCTCATTAGGCACTCATTTCCAACATTGGGGATCAAATTTCAACCTGAGGTTTAGCGAAGAGAAACATCCAAGCTATAGCAATACGCTTTTAAAAATAGCAAAAGAAGGGAAAAGTCTGAAGGGGGAACTTCAAAAGAGAAAATGAAATAAATGCCAAAAGGAAATTGAAAGAGGAAAAAAAAAACAATTAACAATTAGCCATTTAATAAATGTTTTAGGAATAATCATGATATGCTTCGTTGTTATTTATATTTATATTTATGACCTTGTTCCTTCAGAACAATGTGGAGGAAAAGTAGTTAACAATTATAATTACATTAATTATAACATAAATTATTATTTATTTAACAGTTAATATGTTTGTGTTAATGCATTGAGTGATTTTAATTATCATTGTAATAACAAGCAACATATTTTATGTTAATGATGGAATCAAAACAGAGAAATTCACATATTCTGAGTAATGAATTGCTGTTAGTGGAAACAGTTTGTGTGAATATTAAAGTCATAATCTCTCACTCTGATTAGAAAAGTCAGGAAATTTAGGTTTGAGGACAGAAATACTCATCAGATATTTGTTTAACAAAAAACTATTAAATTTTCCCAAATATCTTGCAATTTAAGAGATAGAGTGAATACCCTAAAACAATGGATGAAAACCTGAAAATGAGTTAGTACAAACAGAAAATATATTGGGACCTCTATTAATTTTTAATGTATTTTAATATCATATGTGAAATAAACAAAGAAAATTCTGATTAATCTCACATCTTTCTGTATTCTTTAAAAATAGACATTTAATTATGACTGTGCATATTCATTTTATCAACCTGCAATTAGAAGAAAGACCTGTCTTCATATCCCCATAATTAATTTAATTAAATATAATTAAAATAACAAATGGGTAATGTAACTGAAAATTAGCAAGTAATTAGACATTAACAAAACCTAGACATTAACAAAATCTAGAGAGATGAAACCTGGTGACAATTATATAAACTTTACTTGGTATAACAAAAGATCTATTTTAAAACATATGTTATAATATATAAATGTATACATGTTATATAATATATATTTATATTTATTACACATAATTGTATAATATCTTTATACTATATATTCCTATTTAATGTTTAACGTTCATTGCTTGACAGAAATTGTGTTAAACCTGGGGATTAATTTGGGAAGCTCGGCATCGTTACTATGTTCCATCTTCCAACCCA